TAAGCACCATGTATCTATCCCATATTCTATAATAGAAAGTGAGAGTGGTTTTAATAATCAATAGTATGGATTTTTCTGTATTATTATACATAGGCACTCTTAGTAAGGATTATATCAACTTAAATAAATTATACCTGAGTTAAAAAAGAAAAAATGTTGCTGGACGTGGTAGCTCACACCTGTAATCCTAGCACTTTGGAGGATAAAGTAGGAAGATTGCTTGAGCCCAGGAGTTTGAGACTAACCTGAGCAACATAAGACCTTGACTCTAAAGCAAAAAAGAAAGGTGGAGGTGGTGGCACGTGCCTGTTGCCCCAGATACTTGGGAGGCTGAGGTGGAAGGATCGCCTGAGCCCAGGAGTTCCATGCTGTGTTGAGCTGTGATTGTGCAACTGCACTCCAACCTGGGAGACAGGGTGAGACCCCAACTCAAAAAAAGAAAGAAAGAAAAGAAACTGTTGACGATTCCAGGGACACTGCCGACCATATGCCTGTGGACACTGGCTTTATCACCAGGTCAGAAGCGTAGCACGCTTTCTCGCATATTGCCAGTCAACTATAGGTATGCCTGTCTTCTGTCCCAGTGAGACGCTAAGCTCCACGAGGGTGTGGATCTTGCTGAGTTGGTCCTTGGCTTCTTCATGGGAAGGGCCCCTCCCCTCTCCAGCCTGGCTTCTCACACACTTCTTCTTTATCGCTGTGCATGTAGCCTTACAGTTCTTAGCCCTTGCTGTGCCCTTTCATGTCAGTCCTGGTGCTTAGCTTCTGCCTGGCTGGAATGCCCTTTTCTCCTTTCCCTGAATTCACTGCTGATCGCAGGTCCAATTTCTGTTGGCCTGCTCTCTGCAGGACGCCTTCCCTGACTCCTCCCACCATACCCTGGTCACCCCAGCTTTTGTCACGCCCTGTAACTGGATCTTTACAGGCTACACAAAGAGTTCCTGGAGGACACAGATGTTTTTCTGCCTCTGCAGGGCTTGCCGGTTCCTGACGCTTACCAAGTGCTTAAATGTTACCTCCTTCCCCAAATTTGCTCTCACCTGTTTCAAAGGGAGAGAAAGCAGCAGACTGTAAAGTGCTGTGGAGTGACTGTTTCTGGTGTTTTGCAGAGGAAGTGGCAAGGGCTTCTCTGACCTGTATCCGGCTTCCTTCGGGGTCTCACCTTTCCTCTTCCCGGTGTTCTGGGCTATTTTGAGGCCTCAGCACCCCTCTGTTCAGAGATCAGGTGCGAAAAGAAGGGACTTTGTCAACTTTCCAGGGAGCTCCCAGGGCCAGCCATACATTCATTCCCAGATTCACTCTCTGGGTACTACATTCTGAAGTACACAGGAAATGAGCTTCCCTGTGTGTGGAAGATAGATTCCAGTGGTCTTTTCCCATCAATCTCCAGCCCCTGCAGTGAGACCTCCTGAGGAAGGAATGAGAGGGGTTGGAGGGACTGGGGACCATCGCAGGCCTTTTGGAGGCGGGACGGCTCAGCGACTGCCTTCTAGAGGGACAGGGCTCAGGCCCTCAGAGAGTAGAGGGGACTGGTTGGCCAGACCTGAGAGCTCAAGAGAACTGGTTTTCCAACCTCATGCCCCACCTCCTTCCCAAGCTCCAGGGCCGCATCACCTGCACAGAATCTGAGGAGACACATCTCTCGACTTCTGGGCCTTTCTGTGCTGCCCTCAGGACTCTCCTCTTGGATGTCCTTTGCAGGCCAGTGTGCCCCACTTCCCTCAAAACCTTGGCCTCCTTGGATTCCAGTGCATTCCATGGCCCCTTCACAGCCTCCATGTTCCTTTCTTTGGAAGGTGCTTTGGAGATCAGCATCTTTCCCATCATGACAGGGAGAAGGGAAACATCCAGTATGGCAGGGCACGCCTCCTGCCACGGGCCTTAAGTGTCAATTCAGAAGCTCCCAGCCCCCCCTGCTTCTGTGGGAGCCGAGGTTCTGTGTCTAAGAGCTCCAAGTAGCTGCCTCTCAACCTACATCTCCTTCCTTGTGTGCACTCCCTGTACAAGAGGACTGTGGCTCACTGGAAGTTTGCTGAACACAGTGTCCAAGCCAGAGGCATGTCACCTGAGATGTCACCTAGAGCTCGCCCCACCACCTCCCTCAATTCCCACCCTGACCACACCTATCCTGTCACTTGAGTGGCCTCTTTTTTTTTGAGTCAGAGTCCCACTCTGTTGCCCAGGCTGGAGTGCAGTGGCACAGTCTTCACAGCCTTGACTACCTGGGTTCAGGTGATCCTTCTCCCTCAGCCTCCTGAGTAGCTGGGACTACAGGCATATGCCACCAAGCCCAGCTAATTTTTTTAATTTTTTTATAGAAACAAGGTCTCGCTATGTTGCCCAGGCTGGTCTGGAACCCCTAGGCTCAAGCAATCCTTTCACCTCCAACTCCCAAAGTGCTAGGATTACAGACGAGAGTCACCGTGCCCGGGCTTGGGTGGCTTCTAATTCTCTCCTCAGTCCCTCCACCTCTCCCCATGGCAACTGCATAAGTAACCTCCACAAGATATGATTTGGGAAGAATAACGGAGACTTGGGCAGTGGTACATGCGGATCACTGGGCTAGGAGGAGCAAGAGAACACGTTTAAGGGTCTTTGCCAGGAGGTGGGGGGGTGTGCATTAACCCAACACAAGATTACAGAGAAAAGGTCTAATATGTGGAAATCTACAGAGTTGTACAGACGGGACAGTAATACCAAGCCCTAGCAGAAGCCAAGGGTCTCAGCTATTGATGTAGCAGAGTTATCAGCCCTGCTGGACAGTCACCAGAGGCCCAGCGCAACTGGCATGAAGGAGATAAATGAGAGGTCACCGGGCTCGACTCACACCCAGAGTAGGCCTGAGCTGGGGTCCTCCATAGCGCCCTGCATAGGCAGCTTCCAGACCAGGATGGGATGGGCAGGGTAATTGAGTAAAGGCCATCAGCCAGGATGAGAGTGGAGGTCGGGGGAGCAGGAGACTTCTAAAAGGAATGAAAGGAGGGATCCAGAGAAACTTAGAATAAACTTAGTTCACATTTGGCCTCAGTGTAACCATTTTCGCTTAGACTGACACGCTTTGAATCTAGCACAGGTTAGACATAGTTAGATAAATTGCCAATAGGCAGGTTTTAGGAAGTGTTCAGACATTTTACTACAGGCCAAGCTTGGCAAATTATATCAACTTATATAAATTATACCTGAGTTATATAAATTATACCTGAGAAAAAATGTTGCTGGACGTGGCAAGACAAGGACAGCCCAACCTTTTTCATGGTTTAGCATAATAATCTCTAAGAAACTTTCAGGTTCATTGTCGAAGGTGGAAGGTCAAAGATCACACCTTAACTGGCCAAGGCCATAGAAATGATAATAAGACCACCTTCTTGCTAAGGAGCTTATGGATTGGAAATGTCTGACAGTACTCTTGCAGGAGAAACCTCTCCCCTTGTCTCCCCCCATCTAACTTACCACCATGACAGCAATCATGTGACTAACCCACCCATCTGCCAGCTGACATCAGTACCTACGCTTACCTGCCCCTTCCAATGATGTGGAGCAGACCACCACCCGTTCACCTTAATGACATTCCCCCATCAAAGGGAAGGATTAAAAGGACTCAACTACAAGCAACCAGCCGCCATTGCCTTCTTAAGCTATGGTGTGGCCATGTGCTCTCTGAGCTACGGCCATGTCTTGTTTCCTTGGTTTGGTTTCCTCCCCTCCCTTAGGGAGGTGAATCTTCTCTCTCTCTCTCTCTCTCTCTCTCTCTCTTTCTAATTTAGTTTTTAAATAAACTATATTTCCTAATCTAATTTCTGTGCAATTCTTTGCATTTTCATGGGGCAGTGGATTGCACACCAGACACCCATAAACCCGGCAGACTTGACCTAACATTCTGGAGGCCCCACTGGGAGTGTGACCTAGCAAAGAATAAGACCACTTTTTAAATATATAACTTTATTTTATTATAGAGATAGGAGGTACAAATCAGGATTAGGTACATAAGTAATCTATGTGTAGGTGAAGTTTAGGCTTCCAACTGGACCTCACTTCCCCTGGCTTAGAACCAGGTACATTTTGTGTTGTTACATGCCTCCCCACGCCCCGCCCCCCCCAGCGGTGTCTCACTACTGCTGATCCCTCTCTTGTATTATTGTGATTAATGTTCAAGTTCCACTTATGAGTAAGAACATGTGATATTCAGTTTTTTGTTTCTGCGATAGATCACTAAGTATGATAAATTCCAACTCCATCCAATTTATTGTGAAGTCCATGATTTTGTCCTTCTTTATGGCTGCATAATACTCCTTTGTGTATGTGTACCACATTTTCTTTATCCAGTGCACTTTCAATGGGCAGTAGGGTTGTTCTATGTTTTTGCTATTGTGAATACTGCAGCAATAAACATGTGTGTGCAGATGTCTTTTTTGTAGAATGACTTATGTTCCCCTGGGTATATTCCCGAGAGAGAGATTGCTGGATCGTATGGAAGGTTAAGAGCACTTTGGTATAAGATTCCAAGAGCCCGAAAATCTCCCATTTTAGAACCACAAGTTCAGCTAGGATAAGAGGAATCTCTCTCCTTCCGTATTTAAAGCGTAAGTGACGTATGTGTTGGTAGGAAGGGCTGAGTGGCAAAAGACGACTCCTTCAGACCCACTTCCCTCCCGAAAGGTGGCCTGAAAAGCCCATGGGCTTAGGAAGGGCACCTGAAGTAGAAGGAAGAGGAGGAAAGTGAGTTTTGCCAGAGCTGTCCAGCAAGGACAGAAGGACCTACACGGCTCCCCTGGAGTAGCGGTCACCTACTTTGGCTTTATCATAGACAGCCTTCCCTCGGGAAGTATGGCCCCTTGGACATCCACCCCGACCTCCTCCTCCAGGAAGAGAGCGCCAAGAAAGGATTCCCTGGGGGGCTGGGAAGAAACTGAGCTCAGGACTGGAGTCCCTAAGGCAATCAGACAGAGCTGGGGTCAGGCAGGGCTGGGGCTGGGCGGGGCGGGGGTCAGGCCAGGTGGGGGTCAGGCAGGCCTGGGGCCAGGCTTCCCCTTCTTCCTCAGTTTCATTCTGTTTCTCCTGAGTCTCTTCATCCTTGGCATTTTGTATCTTTTCTGGACTCGGGCCACAGTCCCACAGCCAGAATGATCAAGAACAAGAAGAAAAGCCGTCCCTTGGCCAGGAGGCAGAAGTCTGGTGAGGGCTTCCCAAAAGGATAGCCAGGACCTGGCTGAAAGAAGAGAGGGCAATTAGAGGGGTAGGGTTAGGATTAAGGGAAAGACATTTATTCCAGATTGCAGAGAAAGTCTCAAGTTCACCTTCAGTGAATATCCCTTTGCAGATGTCTCTGGATATATATTCTATGCACAGAAACACAGGAATGAGATCTGGGGAGCATGGTCAAGCCAAGTGGGAGAAGAGACCTTTGGAAGTCGGGGGCACTAGGCAAAAGGAGGGCCCCCTCTCCCTAGTCTCAGTATCAAGCCTCCATGAAGGTGGTTAAGTTCCGGATTCCAGGGACTCTCTTTGGAAGAGCTGGGGGAGGGGATGGTGCCCCAAAGCATGGATCCTGCCTGAGCTCAGGGGCTGTTTCTGGGGCCCTGGTACCTGCACAGAAGGGCCCTGCAGGGATGGGATGAGAACTGATGTTGCTGATGGTGTTGCTGGCCCTGCAGGTGTAGGAGAGTGTGTTGTCCCCAGGTCTCCAGGTTGTGCTGAGGACAGGGCCTTCATGGGCTGTGTCAGCGCTGTCCCCCCAGGACAGCCAGCTTTAGGTTATGCCCACGTCTGCCTTCTCCACAGAACACATCAGGGACATCTTACAGGTGCCTTCCCCAGAGACCTCAGGGTTCACAGTGATGTGAGGCTCCCACAGCCGTCCTAGATAAGGAAGAAACACAAAGACCCTCTTAACAATCAGGGTTCGGGTCTGTTTTCCTAAGCTCTTCAGCCCTGGGGTACTAGTGTCCTCTGACAGCCCCTTCACCTAAACAACAAGCAAGCAGAAACAAACAAAAACACCTGTGGTTCCAGCATCCCCAGGGTGACTGCTAAGGTGGACAGAGCTGCCTTGGGCATCTTCTACCTCCTCGTTATGCCATCTCTCGCTTGCTTTTGTGCCGACCTTCCTCCAAACCCTATTCTGCCTCCTTGATCCTATAAAATATTATATCCCTCTCGAGGGCATTTATATTTTATTTTTTTAATTTAGTTTTATTTTTTTAAGTAAGAAGTCACTAATGACTGCAGATCATTTATATTTTAATCAGTGTCTCATCAAAAATCACGGTAGATTTGATGTGACAGGCTATAAGAAGAAATTGGGGTTCAAAGATAAGGTGCCGATTAGTAATGCTCAAATCACACAGAGGGAGACAGGGCCCAAGAATGAAGGTGCACCAGGCTCGGTGGCTCAGCCTGTAATCCCGTGCTTTGGGAGGCCGAAGAGAGTGGATTTCTTGAAACCACGGGTTCGAGATCCATCTGGGCAACTCATCAAAAAAATTAGCCAGGCGTGGTAGCGCGCACCTATAGTTCCAGCTACCGGAAGGCTGAGGCAGAAGGATCGCCGAAGCTCAGAGGTCGAGGCTGCGGTGGCCAGGAGCAGCCACTGCACTCCAATATGGGCAACAGAGTGAGACTCCAACTCAAAAAAAAAAAGAATGGAGGTGGCATTCATCCCCAGGATGCACAGTCTTGCTGGGAGAAAAAGTCTCCCTAGAGGGTCTGCACACAAAGCCCTGATCCCTTTCGCTGTGTTCAATGCCTCCCTGAAGCCAGCCACAGTGCCCAGCGCCTCCCTGCTCCAGGCCATCCCATCTTTGCCGCCTTCCAGATACGGGAGTTGGGCCACATTGGAGACAGTCCCAGCCCCTCAAACCATGAGCCCAAGTCCTGAGGCTCCGATTCCATGATTGGGAGCTGAGGAGACCTTGGAAAAGCAACTTTATGGCTCCCAGCCCAGACATACGGTAGACACACAGATTGTAGTGCTGCATGGCAGCGACCTGGGATGTCCTCAGGTTGACTTGAGCTTGGTAAAGCCCCGTGTCCTCTCAGCTCAGATTGCTGATGTGCAGGGAGTAGCTGGGGTCCAGGAAACTCACTCAATCCTGGTATTGTGGATTGGTCACCGTGATGGTAGCCGGCTGTCCTTCCCTCCCTGGCACCACAGTTGCCAGCCTTTTATGGGAGGACCAGATGATGCTCTCAAGCTCTTCATCCAGTGGGATTTCCAGGGGGAGGTCGGCAGACTCCTGAAGGATGGCTACCACCTCCTCAGGATCCACACCATCTCCAGGGCCCCCTTTGGTTACAGATATAACAGGGAGAGCGATGCCAACAACCTGGGCTGCTGGGCCTGGCAGCAGGCTGGAGCACGGTCTCACCGGAGCAGTTTCTAAGGTCCACACACCAAATCCTTCCTCCAGCTGCCTCTCCCAGCTCTGGACTTCCCCTGCACCTGAGTTGAGCACCTCCTAGGAGCTGGCATCTATCTGTCCCCTCACCCATCAAATGTTACCTTCTCCTTTGCCACCTGGGGCTGCTCCCCCTTCCATATCCCCAGATGCCCCCGTCTCCTGGTTCGGCTCTGAAGCCACACCCCATTCCTTGTTACCCCACAAGAGCTGATACAGTCAGCCCCAAGGAGGGGCCTTTCTAGCCCAGGTCCTGCTAGCAAAACAACAGGGTAGACAAGGGGACACTCCTGTGCAGGAGTGAGCAGTCTCACTCACCCTCCTGGAGCAGCAGGAGAAGAGGAAGCCAGTGAAGGGCCCCCAGGTCAGCAGCCCCAGGAGGACCGACCGGGACCCACTGGCCCCCAGGACTGTGAAGAAGACTATGTGAGGAGGAGGTTCCTGGAGACAGAGGGGAAGGGGAGGAGAGGAGACATGTGGCCAGATGTCCAGGAGCTAAGAAAGAAACTTTAAAGAACCACCTGGACAGAGACGGCACTGAGAAGTGGAAATGATTCTCAATGGCAGCACTGAGAAGTGGAAATGATTCTCCCCCTAGGTAGTGGCCCACTAACTTCCTCCATGCTCGCCGAGCCCCTCCCATCCATCACGGAAGAGTTCTCTCTCAGATCCTGATTGTCAAGGCGATTTACCACTGACTCATGCTGCCATCTGCCAAACTCACCTCAAATCCCACTTCCTAAATGCAGCCTTTCAAGACTCCCTTCTGAGTTCCCAGACCCCTTACAGACCCCGTGTCCTCATCTCTTTGAATACACCCCGGGCTGTCATTTGGCTCCCAGAGTGCTCTGCCCTAGCTCTCTCTTGATAGTTCCTATGTTGTTGCGATCATTTGATCTCGCAGCCATCTTTTCTCCCCCCAGACAGACTCCACCTTTCGTTTCCTCTGTATTTCCCATTATTGCTGGCTCCTATGCTAAATACGTGTCAGCACTCAGTTGTAATCTTTAGAATGGATAAAGGAATGAAGTCTTTCTATTTAAAGTCATTCATGGTCCCACTTGAGGGATTTTTCAGAGGGGAAATAAACTTGATCTTCTTTTTAAAAAAGTAGTTTAGGGTAACCCTCTCGGGTCCCCTCCCACTGTGGGAGCTTTTCTGTCTTCTCAATAAAACCTGTGTTCAACATGGAACCAACCATGATGCCCATCGAAGCTGGACTGAATTTTAAAAATGTATATATACACAATGGAATATTATGCAGTCATAAAGAAGGACAAATATGTGGACTTCGCAGAAACTTGGATGGATTTAGAGTCTACCATACTCAGTGATCTATCACAGAAACAAAGAACAGAATACCACATATTCTCACTCATAAGCAGACTTTGAACAACTATCATAATACTATAAAAAAGGGATTGGTAGTAGTGGGAAACTGCCAGGGGAGGGCGGGTGGGATTGGCAGTTGAAGAAAACTGCCAGGGAGCAAGGAGCACACCTCATCAACAAGGATATCTGCATAATGAACCTTTGTATACCTAACCTGAATTGTACCCTACATCTTTAAAAAAAAAATCCTGCTTTAAAAAAAAAAAATCATTTGGACCAGAGTCGGTCTAGGTTGTTAATGTTATGAAAATACTTCAGGTTTTTTTGTGAGAATACAATGTTGATCAAAGCTACAGAAAATCAGATTCAGGAAGAAACTGCAGAGGATCAGGGCTGGTAAAAAAAACTTTCTGACCATCAGTGCCATCCAGGATATAGTGGAATGCCTTAGAAGGTAGCATCTGTCCCCTGTATTCAAGCTAAGAATGAAAAATAATCCAATCACTTGCTTGGACTATTTGTAATCTCTCCGGCATCCGAGGGATCCTCAGACTGAATAACCTTTATGTTTCTTCTAATAATCAATTCTATAAGTCTGTGCTATGATGAGGACGTAAGAGCAGTGTCTCAAGACCAAGGGCACAATGAAGGCAGAGATATTCAAGTTTTGGTCTCTGCCAACATTTCATATTTTTAGGTTAGCAAATTCAGCGCCCATTAAATGTTTACTGAGCAGCTTCTATGACCTATACACTGTCCTAAGTGCTGGGGAATTTGCAGTGACTGAGAATTTTAGATCATGACTTTGTGAAACTCATAAGCTAACAATGGCCACTGGACAAGTAACTACAAGTATGATGAGTCTTGTCAAAGGAAAAATGGAGGGAACCCATAACACGGAGATTTGGCAAAGCTGGAGGCAGAGAGCTGGAGAAAAGCCATTAAGGAGAGGTGATGCTAAGCTGAGACATCAAAGGTGAGCAAGACTTGCTAAGTGAAGAAGAGAATGAGGTGAGTAGTACTTAAAGTTCAATTGATGAGTATAAAGCACCAGGAGCCAGGCACAGTGGCTCAAGCCTGTAATCTCAGCACTTTGGGAGGCGGAGGCAAGTGGATTGCCTGAACCCAAGGGTTCGAGACCAGCCCTGGCAACTTGGCGAGGCCTCATCTCTACAATAAAATAAAAAATAGTAGGGCATGGTGGTGCACATCTGTAGTTCTGGCTACTCGGAAAGCTGAGGCAGAAGGATCACTGGAGCCCAGAAGGTCAACGCTGGGGGGCCGTGAGTGTGTGCGCCACTGCACTCCAGCCTGGGAAAAATAAATAAATAAATAAAGATTTATTTAACAAATACAAGATCCAGCAATCCTGCCATGGGGATATATACCCAAAGGAAATGAAGTCAGTGTGTTGATGAGATGTCTGGACGTTCACGTTCACTGCAGCATCATTCACTATGGCCAAGATACACAATCCCAAGTGTCTATCATGGATGAATAGTTAAAGACAAAGCGGTATATACTGTAGAAACAATAGAATATTACTCAGCCTTTAAAAAAGGAGCAAGCCGGGCTCGGTGGCTCAGCCTGTAATCCCGCGCCTTTGGGAGGCTGAGGTGAGTGGATTGCCTGAGCCCGCAGGTTCGAGACCCGCCTGGGCAGCGAGACCTCATCTCTACAATAAATCAAAAAATCAGCCGGGCGTGGTAGCGCACGCTTGTAGTTCCAGCCACTCGGAAGGCTGAGGCGGAAGGATGGCCGGAGCCCAGCAGGTCGAGGCTGCGGTGGCCGGGAGCAGCCACTGCACTCCAGTCTGGGCGACAGAGTGAGACTCCAACTCAAAAAAAAAAAAAAATGGAACAAAATCGTATCCTTTGTGAAAACATGGACGAACCTAGAGGACACTATGTTAAGTGAAATAAGCCAGGCATAGAAAGACAAGTACAGCATAATCTCACATATATGTGAGAGCTAAAAATGTTGAACTCATAAAAGGAGAGTAGAGCCGGGCTCGGTGGCTCAGCCTGTAATCCCGCGCCTTTGGGAGGCTGAGGTGAGTGGATTGCCTGAGCCTGCGGGTTCGAGACCCGCCTGGGCAGGCGAGACCTCATCTCTACAATAAATCAAAAAATTAGCCGGGCATGGTAGCACGCGCCTGTAGTTCCGGCTACTTGGAAGGCTGAGGCGGAAGGATCATCAGAGCCCAGCAGGTCGAGGCTGCGGTGGCCGGGAGCGACCACTGCACTCCAGTCTGGGCGACAGAGTGAGACTCCAACTCAAAAAAAAAAAAAAAAAAAAAGTGGAGTAGAATGATGATCACTAGGAGGTGGGGGAGGGGCAGGGATTGAGGAGATGATGGTCAAAAGATTTAAAAATTCAGTCAGACAGGAGGAATAAGTTCAGGAGATATATTATACAACATGGTGACCATAGCTAATAGCAATGTACTGAACTCTAAAGTTGCTAAAAACATAGATTTTAAGTGTTCTCACCACAAAAAAAGATAAGTATGTGAGTTAATGTACATGTTAATTAGCTCAATTTAGTCATTTCACAATGTATACATACACATTTTCACAAACACATGTTGTGCACTATAGATACTTTTTTCATGAATTAAAAAAAAAACACACTGGGTGCAGTGACTCATGCCTATAATCTCAGCACTTTGGGAGGCTGAGGTGGGAGGATTGATTGAGCCCAGGAATTCAAGACCTACCTGGGCAACACAGCGAGACCTCACCTCTACAAAAAATAGAAAAATTAGCCAGGCGGGGTGGTGTGTGCCTGTAGTCTTAGCTACTTGGAAGGCTGAGGCAGGAGGATTACCTGAGCCGAGGAGGCTGAGGCTGCAGTGAGCCATGATCATGCCACTGCCTCCAGCCTGGGCAACAGAGTGAGACTCTGACTCAAATAAAAATAAAATAAAATAAAATAAAAATCGGGGGTGGGGACAGAAGTCCTTGTGTATACTGTTCAGAGCTTAAAGGTAAGTATATGGGTTAAGTTTACTGAGAAGCAGGCACTGGAGTTAGGAGCAAAGAGGCCTAATGGGAGTCATGTCTGTAAAAGATAAAAGGGTAAGGAAGCAGGACTGAGCCAGAAGAGCCTCAGACCATGAGGCAGTTTTCACAACCTCAGGTCACTCGTCAGGGAGGTCTGACACAGACTACGCATTCAGGGTGGCCCACGTCCAGGCCCTGGGACCCTCCTGGGTAAGATGGTCCGGGCTCCAGGATCCACGCCGGGGTGCAGCCAAGGCTGGGCTGCCTGAGAAAAACTGAATCCGGAAGGTGCTGCAGCTGGAGACTGTGGTTCACTGTGCCCCTCGCAGCCAGATTCAAGCGTCCCTTGAAGGAAGAACCGGGGGGCACCTGCACGGCTGCTTCAGTGAATATGCCGATAGCCAGGAGGCGACTGGTCAGATTTATTAAACCTGACTCTGTAACAGTCCCTTATGCCTGTTGAGGAGAGGAAAATAATTTCCAGCCCAGTTCCTCACTAAGCCCTGCGGTCTGACGTGGGGAAATCACTTCCCGGGGCATGATGTTCAAAGTCTGATTGCATGCTCACTCCAGGACTGTGACCAAATGCAGCTTCATTTCTGCTTCTCGCCGTCCCTTTAGTCTTACTCAATGGGTAGTCTTCCCTGCCCCCGACGAGAACTCTGGTCTCTGGTTTTGGCCACTGGTCTCAGTTCAGAAACGAGTACTTCCTGTTCCATGTAACACACAAAATTCCAAATTTACCTTATGATCAAATACTCTTCCCTTCCCCTGGCTTAGACCCAATCCAGGCTGGGAGCTGGCAATGAGGGAGGAGAAGGTCTCTATCCTGGTGCTCAGCTCACCTCTGACCCCTGCTGCCCTCTCTAGTGCTCCAACTTACCCCCCTCCCCTCCAATGCGTGTTTCACTCTCCAGGAGGATGGGGAAGGCAGGGAGGTCATGAAACTGCTCTTACCTGGCTGAGTGGCTTTGTACTCTGAAGTCCTGGCAGATGGTTAAGATGAGCAGTTTTGCAGTGAGGGGCAGTTTTGCTGATTCAGAATTTCCACTGGTTTCCTCTCTCCTTCTCTTGACCGGGGGTGGATGTGTCTCTGTCCAGGTG